TTTTTACTACACCATATATTTAAGCAGCAGGATATTTTTACTTTGATTTTTACACCAGCTTTGTTCCCACGTCTTCTATGATTTAAAATGCTTAAAACTCCCAGGTGGTCAGGAGTTATACTTTGAATTTGGCATTTCTGCAGTCCAAAAAAAAACATGAATAGGCCCATTAGCGGACTGGACTTAAAGGCCTACTTAAAAATTGAGTCTAGTCTCCTGAAGAACTCACAAGGACAAGATGCTAATTTACACCTTGAACTTTCATCACCACTAATGCTCTTTTCACTCTCAAGATACTTATGCCATCAGAAAACCCTTGGGCAGATGAGTCTGACTAGCAAAGCCTGCATCTTCAGTCAAATCCTGCAGAAAGCCTGTCAGCAGAGCCCACTCCTCACGGCAAACAAAACTGAATGAATCCTGTGTTTTCTGTGACACTGGAAGGAGTTCTCCTCTCAATGCTGGGGCAAATCTCTATTAAAAATCAGATCGCTCATTAAAGAAACTTTTCTACCCATTTTACAGGTAGAATAAAGATGACTTGGCCTGCCAAAGCTCAGGATATATGCCCAAGCCCACTACAGAGAAGCAAAAATTAATTCTTTTTATTCCAACATAAAGTTTATTGACTACAGGTAGATGTTTACTCTTCAGCAAATTAAAAATATGAAATACAAACTTCTTAAGAGAATCCCCAAACTTGTAGTTGGTATAACAGCAGCAGGCAGATTACATAGTAGACCAAGCAGCTGCATAACATTCCAATATCCCTATCCTCATAGACACATCAATAAATGAGCACAAAACTAATAACAGCTATAAAGTGCAACCATTTCAGTGACTACACTAACACTCTTCATCCCAAAAGAGAAGCCTACGGGACCATCCAGTCATCTATTAGAACTGAACACTGAACAGAAAATCAGATTTTCAGATCTGAAAAAAATCCCCTTAGTTTCCAGGCAAGTATTACTACATACACAGAGGCAAACCACAAGGTGTGCAACTCAACACACAAATTTGCATATGTGCTGCAACTCCCGAGTAATGCAAGTATTTTTCTTCCAAAGATAATGAACAATAAAGTTAGTATTAAACTTGGTGACATCTGTAAAGAATCTACAAATTTTATGATGATATTCTAAGGGAAAAAGCTTAAAGGGCAACAGTGCTCTGGCACATAAGAAATATTCTTCATGCATAGAATAGTAAAATTATTTTTGGCTTCTGCATTTTCCCTTACTAAGAGAAACCCTTTTTTGACCCTTGCAAGTAGAGCAAATTATCAAGAATCTCACATACTGACTTAGCATACTGAATCACTGACAAGACTCAGTTGTAACTCAGCAGATCTAGAATGAAAATTTTTAAAAAACTTCAATTCTGCCTACAGCACGAGAACATTTTAAAATTTCTGCTACAAGTAGTGAAGAATTAATTAGCCAAAGCTGACAAATAATTGCAAAGGGATAATCTACTGCAGGGAGCTTAGCTTTTTTTGGTCTACTCTCTAGACCCCATCTGAAGCTTCAGGAAGAGAGCACAGCAGTAACAGTAAGCTGTAAGAAATCAAAGACTGTGTGGCTGCATCAGTCAGTCAACACTGCTGAGCACCCAGGTCATATCTGCACAACCCAAAAGACTCCCAGGAAGTCAACTTACAATACAGTTGCTGCTTTCCATTATCTTTGCCCACTCAAGTGGCCAAAAATTAAAAGCGCTATTTCTGAGTACTTAAGGGATGCAATTACAACTTTTATGTGGTAGGTAAACATTCCTCTTCCTTGGAAAGGACATCCTATTGATCCCTCCAGTTCCATGAAGTCAGCTTTGTTATATATTGTCCTTACTTTCTAGGTGTGTTTTAAAGCATTTCAGTCACTCCTATTTAGAGTTCTATTCATTATTTTTATTTGCCTAAACCTCTTAGAGTCTTTCTGTTCTCTTCCAGTGAGCTTTTTTCCTATTTGTTCTCTAAATCCAGAACTCTTGTCCATAGGAACTGGAACCCAGGTTGTCAAACCTGATAGGAAATCACCTTACACTTTACAGCAAGGGCAGAAAAAACAAACCCTTGGCACCCTACTGATTTAACACTGGTCTGCCTTTTCACTGGAAAAACTGAACTACAAGCCATTAAAAAGATTCAGTCTCAGTAAAAGCAAAGGGAAGCATGAAATACTTCAATCAGTTTAATACTGCTTTATGCTGTAGCTCACAGGTGTTAAACACAGAAAAGTTATGGCAAGGCATAACATCTCCTTGCATAATATCTATGAACAGTTCTCCCTAATATACCTCAGAATGACTTCCTATTCTTCCAGAGGTTTTCAGAGTACATCCATTATTACTAACAGCATGAAAATAACATCCTGACAGGGACAATACCATATTTTCACCATCCTTTTATTTTCACACTTTAAAGAATAATGAACATTATTTCCACATAAGTAGAACTCAAACCACACTTTTGACTGGGGGATTAATGTGTGAACTCCACGCCAGTGAAAGGTACTATTTTGAGCAGCAGCCAATGATTTACATAAGAACCCTCAGTGTCACAACAGCAAGGGGAGAAAAAAGTAACTTCTCCTTTCTCTGCAAAGAGGAAATCAAGATGAAAATGCATCTGGAAAGAAGTATGTACATGTGAGTATTATATATTCAACAAAGAAAAAAAATACAGTTAAGATGGATTTATTTCCTGGAGAACAAAACTGTTTCTCTTCATGTCCTCATTTCCAGGAGGTATTAGTATCAGATATAAAAAAGTTCCTTTCATAAAATTATTGAAAAGTGGACACTGCTACACTCACGTTCCCGCTAAAATGAAACCAATTTTAAATAGAACAACATACACAAATACAAACAGAAGACCTAGACCGTGAAAAAAGCTGAAATAAAAATTGCTTATTTCAGACTTTTTTCCAGGATCTGAAAAATATATTCTAGTTTCTCTGTCCCATCTGCCTACAGTTCCTTCATTACGCTTAATTTCTGAAACCCAAATCAGTGGCATTCAGTGCATTCTCATAGCAAGGCTATATCTAACAGCACATCTTTATATCCTGCCTGGGAAAAATCTTCAGAGAATGAACATGAACACTTTCCTTCAAACTACTTTCACTATGACAGTCATCTATTTATATACTCAATATGAAAGAAATACTTAAAAATTCTCATACTTATGGTAGTATTAGGCATCTCTGATCACTTCAGTTTTCAGTTTTCCCAAGTACTAGTTGTTATTTCCCTGGACAAAGCCTTATCTGATTTAGGAGTTTATTTTTGCTTCTGAGATTCATAACCACATTCCATAAATATACTTAGAAATTAAAGAATACTGCAAAAATTTACTTGAAGTAAAAATGAAGTAACTTATGGCCTACCCTTGACATTTCAGCATGGGTACATTTGTAATCAATATTTGGTTTTCACATGGGTACAACTTTTCACTCTATGTCCAAAAAAAAGGTATGAAAAAGGACAGCAGTGACTATGTAGAGGGAAAATAATTTGATTTTACGCAGTGCCTTTCACTGTTCAGCTGTCCTTAAGCACTTCACAAAACAGCAAGCCTCCAAGATGTACCACCATATGGGCAAATACAACAGCTGTTCTGACAGCTACAAGAGCTCACCTCTGACCACAGGAATTTCATCCTGAGACACTGCATATGAACACAAGGCACTCGAGAAACATTTACTCTGTTTAAGAAAACCTGGGGGTACAATGCTGCATGCATTTAGAATTCTAAAGTACAAAATAAAGCATGGGAAATCAGTGCTGTAAGTGTATGTTGGATGCAACATGTCTCTTGACTACAAAAATAAAAGTAGCCCCTAATATCTGATTTTTATATTTATGTCGCATCTCTCCTATCACACCTAAACCCTGTATATTAAACAATGAAAAACTCTATACAGAGGGGAGAACTTCATCTCCTTCTAAGTGCTGAGGGCCAGATTGAGATCTCCAAAGTGACTGGTGTTTGTACACTAAACAATACACTAGAGGAGTCTAAAGAAGGGAAATTGTATCCTAAAATCAAAGAGACATTCCCAAAGGTGAAAACCTTTTTACTAAATACTTACTCTTTGTAAGGAAAAGTTAATCCTCTCTGGCAAGTCACAGCCTAACTTTTGCAGTTCTTTGTCTTCCATTTCCACCGTATGTCAGCAGTGCTAACCTTCTGTTTCCGTCATTGGACAAAGTAGACAATGCTCACCCTTTGGTTTCAGTAACAAGCTGGATAAAGTTGCCTGTCTATATTATCATTTCCTCTCTTTCTACTTAATAGCTGCCTTTTTTGTCTTTAATGAACACTGTGGTACAGACAGACCAGATATAATCCTGCAGTAGGAAAAAATGGCAGATATTTGTACCATGAAAGCACAAACCTCAGTTCTGTACATTTTATTAACCTTGTCTCATTGAACAAATAATTACCAAAAGCATACACAGTTCTAAAAATGGAAGCTTTCCAGAAGGAAAATCCTTCCTGTGTGATGAAATACACAAGTTATCAAAACAGGATGTAGAACAGAGAGCACACGTGCATCCTTACTTCAATTGTTATGGCATTAGTCCTTCCTAGTTGAATTAATCTTGCAGGCATGTTGTATTTTTTTTAAAGCAAGCATGCTTGGTTCCTAACTCTTATGAAGTCTGCAGACAACTGGGCACAAAAGTGAATGCAACTCAGGAAACAGTCACCTATCAAAGAACATGGTCAATTCCTAAACCTCTTAAATAAAGATTACTGTCGACTTCAAACAGATTATAGTCAGGGTGGCCAGAAAAGCCCTGAGACAGAAACTAACAGCCAATGGCTCAATTATTCCAAAATCTGGAGAACAGGGTTAAACACAACTTATCTCTCGTCTTATTTGGTACACTTCATGAGTGGATAAGAGCAGTTCTGAGATTCAGAAACAAACAAGCAAGCAAGCCCCTCCTCTTCCCTCTGCTCCACCCTACACAGACATAGAAAGGAAACATTCATTTTATAATGGCAGAGTTTATTTACATTAGAGAAAGTTACCACAAGTTGAGAAGTTATTTCAACAGGAGTCCAACAATCAGTGCTTTTGCCTGTCTTCAAAGAAAGGGATGATTTTTAAGATTTGATGATGCACCTTCAGAAAATCTTGATCACTTGGGAAAAAAGTACCAGGAATCAACTAAAATAAACAACAACAAAAAAAATACAAGAGTGACATTAGTCCTATACAAACAGTCATACACAAGCACTTGAAAACACAACATTCTGCCCTTTCAGCTACCTTCCCTCCCATAACAACATTGCTGTGCTAGCTCTATTCCCCACCCTGTGAAAAGCATGGCCTGAAAATAATATCTGCTCATTTTAACAGTTCAGCTGTACCAATCCTGCAACAAGTTACAACACTGTTGTGACCATCCCTGGGAAACATCACAGATCAGGCAGATGATGTTCAGTTGTCTGTCAGAGGTCTGAGATCTAATACTTTGGTAAATAAATGCTATTTATTGGCATGCCATATAAAGGCAAATGGAATGCAACTTGCTTTCCCATGACATGGGCTACACAGATGTTGCTTCTCCAACAATTTGACACTTGGTTCATGACTAAGTTTAACTTAGAATTTTGTAACTCCCTCCATCTCAAAAAGCACATATGCCTTTTCTATAGTTCCTGCCAGCAGAAAAATCTTTTTTTTAAAGTAGTTAAAACTGAAAACGTAGGATGCATTCTTATTTCTGAAAGAAAAACACATGTTCTGTTAACATGAAAAACAGTCATAATAGTGAAAGGATAAAATTTTGTCTTTAGAACTTACACTTGAAAAGTAGGTATGGTTATGTCAATTTTAAGAAAAGGAGCTGTTTATTTGATTAGTTAGCTACTGTGAGGAATGACAAAAACTAAGGCAAAGCAACCTATCTCCTTTAAAAAGGATTAATGACATGCATTTGCCTTGCATGATCAGTAAGAGAAAAATTTCGTCATTCTTATCTTTTTATGTGGACTACACTTTCACTCAAAAGTAATCTTCCACAAAGCATCCATGAATTTCTGTTCATGTTCTATTTAACATGAGACAAACAATACCACATGACGGGATATAACTATTATAATTTTCATACACACAAAACTGCCTTTTGCAACAAAACAGTTTTTATGTCAAGTTTTAAAGCCAGCAATTAAGAGAAGTCATATGACATCTGAGAAAAAAAAGGTAGGTACCTTCTGGGGAAACAGAATCTCCATTCATAAACGCTGGTGCCTAAAAAAGAGAAAAAAAAAAGATAGGAAAAAACCCCCCAAACCAACATCTCAGTACTTACTCAAGATTTCAGAGAGAGCACCCAAATTCAAAGATATTTCAATGCTCAAGTCAAGAGATATTAACAAAACCAGAATTTTCTGTTGCCTCCACAGGACAACACCCTACCTTACAGATTTCTTACCCCCACTGTACAAATTTCTTTGTTGCTCATAAGTGACAAAACAAACACACGAACAATAAGTGATAGATTAACACCTTACCTAATGCAAAATTGATTTTTTATGACCGTATCATCCTTGAGAATAACAGGATTTATTATTTACATCTAAAGAGTAAAAATGCCTTTCTAGTTACTAGACATGTTTCACTGTCAGGTATGCATGTGAATGCATACACACACATACAATTTACATTAAATACATGCAAACCGAATAAATGTGTGATGATACTCCTTTACAATTCCATTTTGACAGAATAATTGAGTTCTGTGGAAAGTGACTATTTGTTTTAAAATTCTGGTCTGGCATTTCAAAGCTGGATATGCCACTATTCAATCACAGGAGTGCACAGCCTGTCTTGTCCTGTAACTTAAAGGACAAAATTAAAGACACTTTTAACACATCTGAAATGACCCTGCCTCAGGATGAGGATGTAACAACTTTCCACTGCCCTTCCTTAGCACAGTAGCACTCGGGCTGAGCCACACTGGTGTGTCAAAGCCTTCCTGCATCTGAGCAGGCACAGGGCTCTAAACACTGAAGAGCAGAACTAAGCCTGTGAGGAGGTAAGGAAGAGGCTGGATTCTTCTTCCCACTTTACCCAGGATAATTATCCGCACGGGCGATTATGTGACTGGTCTGAAAGGAGCTACCAGTATGACAAACATAACCCAGGTCTTATCACCAGAACATCCCCTCTCTTTCCAGCAAAGCTTTATCTCATAAGGCAGGGAGAAAGAGAGGTCACCATTTATAAACAGGTGCCTACCACTTCCGGGATAACTGCTCAAAAAGCTTGAGATAAGGACTCAGTACTATCCCACCATGACCCGATAAAAATCTCATCCCACTGAACCAGGAATCTCTTCACTACACAACACTTTCATCTGGAACACCATCTAAAACCAAATAAATAATTTAATTAATAAAAACAAACCCCAGACTAACAGCCCCACCAACCTTTTATTTCACAAGTGTCCACTGTACAGAAAATTCTACCTTTACTAAATCCCAAATAGAAATGTCCTCACAGAAGGCGTGTAGGGAGAAAGGCAGTCAACAAACTTTCCTGCTTAGATCTGAATTATTCAAAACACACCAATAAATATACAGATTCAAATTTGCTTGGAGATTTTTTTAAATTATCAGGAAAAGTCAAATGTTTTTCCCTGTAAAACACTGTTTTGCATTTCATCAAGAGACATCATTTGGCAAAGCTTTCCTAGTTCACTTTCCAGTATTATAAGGAAAGAATTATGTGATAAGCCTGAGAAATGCTGCTCTACTGACTATATATAGATTATCTTGGAGATTTTCCCATTTGCAAAGTCCTCAACAGCTTCTTTACAGAGCAAGCAATTCTTAGGATTAATATTAAACAAAGGCTTGGCGGATCTGGTCAGTTTTACAGATGACAACACTTAAAAGCCTAAAATAAACAGCGTTTCTTAGCACTAACACATTCATCTACAAAGCTCTATTCCTCCTGGGTTTAGTGTGCAACATATACTGACACTGGAGCTGAGACACAGATGAAACAACTTTCAGAAGCTAGAGAACACTAGAAATTTTCACGATGTAGTGTTAAAATTCATCTAGATTTCTAGTTGCAGGGGTCTGGTGTAATTTTGGTTGGTTCAAATATTCAGTATGTGCTCTTACATGCACAGATTATCTTCTATCTCTCTGGAATTCACTGGTCATGGCACCTGCTGTTGGAATCATTCTTAGTTTGCCCCCAATACAGATGGCAGTACACATGCCAACCATCTAGAACCTCACTCAGTGGAGTGGAAATTCCCCAACCCAGACAAGCCATTCTAGTTCCCCATCTGTAAAGTAACAAGAGGTCAAGTAATTCTGAAAAGAACTGGACTACCTTGGGAACCACCCAATCAAAATCTATAGGAAACTCTGATTATAGCACACTTGGTAAGCATTTGGTAAGGATTTGAATGTTTTCCATTTGGTTCTCTTACAGTTTTCCTGCTCACCACAAAAACTGTTCTATACCAATACTGGGTGTTGCCTTTTGGCTTTTGGTGTCTTCTTTGGGGCTTTTTTGTTTTGTTCCAGGGTTTTTTTGAGAATTCAATATATGTGATTTAAGGTAATAATCACTCACTCAAAAATGCTGCAACTGAAATCTGACACTGGAAAAAGAATTGTAGGGAACCAGCTCTCACTGCAGAAATAGCTCAGAAATTTTGCAGTAGTTGAAATACATTTCTTACTGTACTTGTATGCAAGACCTCTGCTTCAACTTTCATTATTTTGTTTTTATCCATGACCTAACAGATGTATATAAATTAGAAGAAAATGGATCTGCTTTTAGTTTAAATTTAAAAAAAACCAACAAAAACCCAAACAAAATGCTCTGTAAACCCAGGCAGTTTTCAATTGAAATCACCACAGCCATTAAAATTCTGCAGCCAACACTCACATACTTTCACTTCAGTGTGAAAGAGATGAATGTCTGACAACCAAAGCATGCAGTGCAGTGTATGAGACAAAAAGATACCCGCTTAAAATATGTAAGTCAACCTCCCTGCTTATATTTAGAGTTCAACGATTCCTATTTCAAGGCCATTTAACTTTTTTTAGTTATTGCAGATCAGCAACTGCATGCAGCATGAACAGTATTTATAATAGAGTATTGCATATTTTCCCTGTCTGGAAAGCACCAAGAGGCAGCACCCTACAGAGACATAATTCAAATACTTAGACTGAACTGAAACAGAATGATGCAAAGAGTATGTAGAAACAACTTCACAAAAACCACTATTACTTAAAAGAATGTGAGACACGAAAAAAGGCAGGAAGTGATGCTATTTGATAAGAAGGGAAGCTTTCAAATAAAAAAGTTTGATACAAGGTATCTATTTTATGAACCGATTTTACTAACTTCCTCCCCCCTCTCTGAAAACCACAGGGGAAAAAAAAAAAGATTTGTTATTGAGAAACAAAATAAGACATACTGCTAATTTAATAATCATTTATCCTGCATGCCTCAAAGTACAAAGAGCAGAGAATGCAAAAGGAAATACTCCTTTGCACATTTGCCACCATTCAAATACATTTGGACATGAAGTTTTAGTTGCAATTAAAGACTTAGGAAGTTCTTGTAAATTTGAAATTACAGAGGAGGTAAATACTTGCTTATTTACCTTTTTTATTTATTATTATTTATTAGACTGGCATGTCTAAAAACATTTGAATTCCAAAATGAGTTTTTCTTTCATTTAAAATTTACAGTCCCATTAATCAACATTCAGAAATGCAACATAAGAGATACTTTTAAAGAAGTGCTGAAAGCAAGATATCTGAATAGGAAAAAGTTTGATTTGACACATCTTTATGACTTAAACCAGTATTTCTTTGCAATTGAGTGTCCTATTTGCTTACAACAAAATAGCATCCAGGACAACACACTCCTACTAGAAATGGGGATGTTAACTGCACAGACAGTGGACGGCATGTCCTTTGCACAATTACTGTGACTGTTGAGGTGCCCTGGCAGCCATGCACACATGCAAAATAAGAATACCCCATGTGGTCATAAGCATATGCTCAATCACAGCCTATGTTAGGAAAGAAAAAGTAATACTTGGGGACACATTTCTCCACTTAATTCCTGGTAACCTTGCTTAATTTCTGGCATACCAACTAACGTATTTTAAAACAGAAAAAATTTTCCTCCACTAACATTTGAACATGAAAACATCGAACCTGCAGGACGTTTTTCTTGCCTGAACAATAAACCTGCATGTTTTAATTTTATGTTAGTTTTCAGAATATGACAGGTATTCTCTAAGAAACATTCAAATAAGCATCCCCTCTCTGAAAACATTGCATTTAATTATGCAAGTAGACAAACAAAGGATCTGTTCAGTGATTAGGGACTACAGTCAGCTAGTCAAGGAGTTCTAACACTGGGTGGTAACTCATGGCAACAGGGGAGACAGAGAAGACAGCAGGCTAGATACAAACATCAGTCCATCTTGCTATTAAGGATCAGAAGAAACAGCACTGCAGAAGGATTAAAATCAAAACCAAAAAACTCCACCAGAGTAGTAATGAAGGCTTCCAGAAAGCACAACTGGACCACTGCCATGAAAGGTTTATATCACAATGCTTACATTTCCTCCACAACCTTTCTGCTCCTCCAAGTAAAACTTGAATTTTTGCTTAAGGAAGGAGACCATTTCAATTTAGCTGCTTTATTTCAGTTTTGGAGCTCTGAACAGCCTTTTCCAATTAAGAATTAAAATTTAAAAAGGGGTGGAAAAAAAGTAAATATCCTTACTGACTGCACAATCAATCGGGCATCCTCCTCACTGCAACAAAATGGGCTGCCACTCACCAGAACATTTGTGCTGAAAAACAAAATTAAAAACATACTTTATCCATCAGCGGAAAAGAGCTACACACAATTAAGTACTTATGGAAAAAAGCCACCATCACATATAAAGCTCAGAAATGTGGATCTGCAAGAAATGAGGAAGCAAAAGCCACAAAGTAATGCTGGAAGGAACAGGTGTGTGGAAGGGTGTTATTTGTTTCTTTGAGTTTGAGGAATTGTCTAAGCTGTGTATTCTGTATTAATGCAAGCAGTGCTCACACTCAGGGCTTCTGGCTGCCCACCTGCAGTATCTAATAAGAAGGAAAAACAGTCCAAAATTCTGGTCCTACATAAAGCAGCAGATATCTGTAGTATTTCCAGACAAACTCTGGGACCACATCCTTGGCAGAAATGTTTCCCTATGAATCTGTATCCTTTCACACCAAAAATGAATTTGATCGTGAGTGTTTAAGGTCCTACAGAATAAACTGCACGAACTTCAATTTCCCGAAGTAACAGAATGAACAGTGACAAGAGGACCAAGATTCTCCAAAAACAATTCTGAACAAACACTCTGGGGTCATTTCTCAAAAGCTGAAGTAATGAATGTCACATCTATGTAACTAATATATTTCTGGAACCACTTATCAGTAAATCATCATCATACAAGGTCCACTTAGTCAATTATGTTTTATTATCAATTAATTATCAAACCCATGAATATTCCTGTCATCTCAAATTTTTAAAAATCTAAGCAGTTCACGAACAGCTGCAACTTGTTGAATAGCACCAGAATAGCACAATACAAAGAACAAAAGATGTAACTGGATACATACCACTTTATAGTACCTCCATCAGCTTTTTTATGAAGCAATGCTTTCCAGTGTTCATGGGTAGATTTAATAATTTCAACAGCAAAATCCTAGTTTACAACAAGGAAAGTTCTGTAAATTAAAATGTTATTAAACAGAAAAGAGAGCCACAGAACTAGCTTATTAAAACATACTATTTCACATGTTATTTTAAGGCACCTCCTTTGAGGCCTCATTAAATTTCTGGTGAATATAACACCCTTTATGTAAAGAAACAAACGTCACTATTTGTCAAATATACTGGCAACACATTCAGGACTTCCCCTCAGTCTGCAGCCACAAAACACTAACGCTATATGAAAGAAACAAAATCAGCGCTAGATGCTAAGGAGATCCCTACTGCTGTAGAAAATTGTACCAGGTTCTAAATGTGATCAAGTGTGTGAGCTATGATTCCACCCTTACAGATGCAGGTCAGAGTCGGGGCTTCCCCACTAGAGGCATAATTTGCATTTACTTCATTAATGCCCAATCATATACTTAAACACTTGCAAAAACATAACATGTCAGCTGCTTAACAGTTTCTGCTTATCGGAAACAAAAATAATATTGGGGGTGGGACTGGGATGAAAAAGCTTCCAAATATTCAAGTAAAATAAGCCCTCAGTGTCCAGATGATGACTGCTAGGCTTGCAAAAAGCTGACAATTGAACATTCACATTTGTTAACAAGGAGTGACTTGGAGAAGTGCCACTGGGACATTGTGAACTTCACCAGAGCTGCTGGAGCACAGCCACAGCCGCCTCACCACATCCTGGGTCTCTAGAAATGCTTCAGAATTATTCAAGCGCTCCAAACCAGCTATCTCAGGGCATTTAGTGCCTCCAGGCTGAACTCCAACGGCCTGTGAGGGATACACTGTCTGCTGTCAATCTACAGTGCAGGAAAACCTCTAAGAGCAGTTCCCAGGAACACAGGGGAGAGATCAGGTTATCAAGCCTTATAACTCTACAACTGATCAATTTAAAAGGCAGTTTTAGTGCAGAGGGGAGTCAGGGCATTTCTTTAACCAGAAAACATGTAAAGCTGCCTGTGCTGGTTAGAAGGCATTAAGTAACTTTGATAGCACCCTGCAAGGCTGAACTAGCTGACACATGGACATAATCCATGAGAAACCTGTGATTCTTTGCCAAGAATAATCTACACAAAGCATGCAATACACAAGCTGCAAAGCTATTTTATTCAAATTGCATCCAGTTTCTCTGGAAAAATTCAGATATTTCCTTCAACAAGATCTATTCCTTTCAAACACCGGCCATATTTACTGTAAGTAGTTTAAAAAGCCATTCAGTTTAAAAAAAAAAAAAAAAAGAAAAAAATTTTTCAGCCTTCAAGCCAAACGCTTCAAATGTTTTTATAGAGATTTACCAGAAAAAGTATGCCTTGAGCAAATACCAAATAGGAAAAAATCTGTAACCTGTTGTCTTAAAATGCATACCCTTTTAAAAAAGTCAGAAAAATTTACCAATGAGACTAAAAAAATCACCTGAAAGAACGATCTGTTCATTACTGTGACATGGGAAATGAAAATGCTTTGAAAAACACCTACAAACACAAAGATACATGTGTAAATCTCATCAGGACTACGACTAATTTTTTTTTCATACTTTATATAATGACTTATGCATTTTCCCCGAAAAAAATGGAAGGCAGCAAACATTATTTAATCCTAGCCTAATAAATGGTACACAAAAGTCCCCTGCATCAAAATTCTTTTCGTTAAGTCTCATCCTTTACAATTACAAAAATTCTAGGATTTATTATAGAGTCTACATGACAGAATGATGAATTTTTAATTTTGCATTATCTTCACCTTGTTTTTAAACTCTCCATTAAAAGCAAAGTGATTTTCTGGTTTACCATCAGGGACTTTATATAATTGGAACCAGTCAACTGTAGCCTCAAGATAACCTGGTTTGTGCTTCTTGACATCATCGATATCTGTAGGTTAAAAAGAGGGGAAAAAAAAAAAGACTGATCATTTTCACTCACACATTTCAGAACATTAATCTTTTAAATTTTCCTAAAAAATCTGCAGCAATTTGATTTCACTGGATACTTTCACAGTAAACTTCACTTTACTACATTAGCTGCTCATGGTTGCTACCTCATAATTTCACAACAACACTAAGCAGGTAAACCAGTCATCTCCTGCCCTTCGTTAATTAAGACCCAAAGGTACAATGAATAAAAGGCCCATATTTATCTCAGTAGGTAGCTCTTGCAATGCTTAGATTATTCACTGAAGCAATTTTTTTCCTCCAGCAACTACAGGGGCTACGAGCATTTTTTGATAATGAAAGAATAGCTATAAAAACAATTTCAACACATGAATCTTTAAACCGGCACCTCTAAACAATATACAGGCTTGACTTGTCAACATTATATTAAAAGGTACTCTTGCTCACATTAGTTCCAAATTCATCCCCTTCAAGACATGACAGAGATATGCCAGGAGTTCTAAACACTAATTTTACTGCTAACCTTGTGGTGTCTGCATATTCACAGTGATAAACAATTCTACCTCTACAATCCTGACGGACAAAGATGTGATAGGACACAAAAAGGAACGTATTCCATTTGTGAGACACCCTTGTGAGGCAGAGATGAACACTGCCATGGTGTGTACAGAGAGATGAAACATCACAGTTAATTCTGCTTGAAGACTAAGCTGCCATATCAACGATGCAGTTCTTGATCTTACACCCCTTACCTGCTGTGTGTCACACTGCAGCTGGTCTAAAAGCCATAACCTAAAACTCAACCAAGCCTGGAGGTGGGTAGACACCTGGGTGAGTTATGACAGGATGGATTTGAACAAATATAGAGAATCCCAGCAATCCATTGATCCCAAAGTGCAGATGTATCATTGGCCATGGAAATGAGTGACTGGGACCATAACCAATTACAAGTGTATGCCCAAGAAATTCAAACCCCCTATTTAGGGAGGGTGCAGAACAATAAAGAAAGCTTTTTGTCACATGGATCACAGAGGGACGTGTCATTTGTCTCCAGCCATGTCTCCAGTCAAGTTATAGCTGTGTATATCAAATTTTAATGGGCTGTCCTTTGAGACTACCACCACTTCTGTCACTTGCTATGGTGTGGTCCTGTCAACACCTTAACAAATTAACTCCCTGGCAACATGTTTACATGGAAAAGCTCTCAACATTTTTCTAATTATTTTGATGTAATAAAAAAGATTTTGTCCATCCCAGAAGCCAAATACTTTGTAACTGGTATAATCTTCTTTCAACAGTCACTTCTGATGGAAATGGGAGCTGACTTTTTACTACTGTAGTCTACCAACTATTTCACAACCTCACTCTGCTCAGGCTACCTTCCATGGTGTTACTCTCCTCTAGCGTTTTGCAAGTCACTCAGTCACGTCTCCCTTCCTCATTCCTTCTTGCTCTCTCTCAACACTGCCTGGTTACTTAATTATCTTCTCCCATAGATATGCCTCACTTCAGGCATCTGATTGGCAGTGATTTCTGCTAAGATACTCTTCTGTCTATCCAGTCCTATAAAATCAGAGTCCTGATTGCTTAGTCCATGGAATTGATATCCAGTCACGTGCTTTCCATCTTTAAGTGTCTAAATGTCTTTTAAAATTTCATTGTGAACCTGAACAAAGACATTGAAATATTTCTGAAGTGAACAAGATAACAGAAAAGGTCTTGTGCTACAGACTATTCAATTCTCAGTAGACCACCATGAGAGATGACATGTAGACTGAACTGAGAGGCCAGACCTATATGAGAAGACATTCTGAGAGTTAACGGGCATGTCATAGATGCCACTCCCAAATTCCAATGCATTACCACTACCCAAAGAATAAAACATAAAACCTTGAAGAACCCCATGTAAATTTTTGCTTCACACACACTTAACAGGGCTACATGTTTATGGGCTCAGAGTAAAACACATTTTGAACTTGGCTGCTAGCCATCTGTCTGTAGGACATCAGGGAATTTCACTGGCAGAATCCCAGAAAAAAGCAAGGGCACATAAGGCTATGCCAGAGGCAGGTCTTCTGGCTAAAATATGTGTTTAAGAGCACAAGGAGCTTTTCACTTGGGTGGATGGGTGAGACCAACCAAGAAGGAATGATTTAGAAAGGGGTGGGATCTTGGTTGGAGGCAGAATGCTTCATTTGGGCACTAATAAAACTGCAGCTCCAATTCAAACCAGTTTCAGGACTCCAATGTATCATCCTGCTCCCTCCAAGCAAGAGAACTTCCCTCCTCCAACTTGAGCTGTTGTCATCTCCTCCTCTTGTGAGCTTTGACTTCACAATATCTAACACTTGTTGAAGACAGAGTATCTCCTCAAGTCTGTAAAGCAAACCAGCCGGCTGCAGCAATTTCCTCGGCTCCCAGCAGTGGACAAACTCCAGACCTCTCTCTCCAGACACTACTTAAATTCAAGCATACTTTCTCACACTGCTACTCCTTTTTTCTGGTTCCTGTTCCAGCAAATGTCTCTCCTAACTCTGCTTCTCCACTCCCCCTACTTGATTATTTGCCCCCACTCCCATAAAACCTGTTCCTCAAAAGTGCTTTACAGTCTATTAACTGGCACTTGGTACTTTTCTCCATCTGTTTTTCCTTATTTATAGGTTTTATTTATACTTATTTGAAGGACTCAAATATTAGGAAAGGCTTTGGGACAGACTTTTATTATTTCCTTTTGTTAGAGATTCTATCTTCATGGACAGAATCATCTCCCTGAATTTCACAGTCTCTCTACTGGAAAATACCTCGTCTAAGTAACATTAACAATCCCACCACAGCATTGTAAGATTGTTGTATATTCTGGTTTTGAGGACTCAAGAAGGGGGGCATTGGTTGCTTTTATTTCCTGGGTTCCTTGCAAGTTATTCTCCTTCATTGCTATGCTTCACTTCATTTTTCTTTACTATAAAGGACAGCTACTGAATATCAAATGAAATCTGAAAGCTTGATTTAAAAAAAAGACTCCAGAACATCTGTATTATAATGCAAGTTGATGGGAAGCAGAAGAAAGTGCAATAATGCAACAAAACAAACCCCAAAAAAGTATCAATGCTGTTGCTGTGGAGTCAGCATGTAACACAAAACAAAAGGAAAACAGCAGCTCTTGCATCACTCACTCAATAGCCATCTCTTCAATTCATTAAAAGTCACCACAGAAAAACATGAAAGACAGCTTGTCTTCCACTGTAATCTAAACAGCCTCTCTGGGATATCAGGGGAGAAAGGAGAAAAACCACACTCAGAAAACAGAAAAGTAAGCAAAGAAAGGTAAAAAAAAAAAAAAATCACAATAAGCAGTACAATCATTTACTACACTAGTATCTATAGAAGATAGCTTCAAATTATTATGATTTTTTAAAAGCAAACAACTTAGCTGTCTTTTCTGTAGCAAACACTGTTAAGACACTCTTTTTTGACCTTGACTGCTTATCTTCCCTTACAGCTATGTACTCCCACTGATGTTAAAAGGGGAAGGTTTAGGAGCAGCAAGCATGTACATATCCCAAAGTAGTTTCATCTCTGCCAGCAGACCCTGCTCAAAGCAGCAGAACAGGTCAGGCTCCTGCAGGTACATTATCAGCATGTCCCCACAGGGCTCTAAGTGGGAATTTCTCTATACTGCCTGCATACTACCATAGGTCTCGTTTTTCTGGGCACAAAGTTAGGTGCCAAAGGTTAAAAGGAGACAGTAGATCACATAAAGGGTTGCAGTTCAGTGTCCATAAGGAAAATCCCTAGAAGCTGGCACCAAGAACTGCTGCTAGCTCTCTGTTGAGGGAGTGAGTCAATGTGAATGCAGATCCCAATTCTAGCTGGCTTTACAGAAGAGAGCAACAAAAGCATTTGTACAAAACTACCATTTTTAGTACAACAGATGCTGCTTCTTCCAAGCAAAGCTAAAAACAACATGTTTACAGCAAGCTTTCTAAACAAGGTCTGTGGGAAGAGAGGACATATGTTTTTAATAACATCTTATAAACATTTACAGGAAGCAGCAGCTACATTCCATATAAAGGCATTTGGTGTATTTTGTGCAGGGGGTAGGAAGGGAGCCTTGGTAGAGCAAATTAATTTCTTTATACTGAGTGCTTACACAAATCCACAACAAAGTTCTTCTGGGCCTCTGCTGCTTCTCTGTGAATAAATACACTCACGTGCAAAGGTCTGTAACAATTTATGATACAAAATATACAATATGCCTTAGTTTTGCCATTTAGGGTTTGATCATTAAACCCTATCTTGAGATGCATATTGTAAAAGCAGCATGGCAACACAGCACACTGAACTACACTAGTGCCATCAAATGGCAACACAATAAAGCCAGCAGACATCACCAGCTGCTGTTCAATAGATCCCAGCATCTTTCCAGTGAGCAATGACAGCAAAAATGGCTGCTAAGATTCCAGGCCAGCAAATCACCTCCAAAATGCCATACAATATACATGACTAGTCTAATTTGCTAAGGAGGGCAAGATGACTATTTGGAAGTCAGACTTCATATGCTGCTTCCAACACAATTCCTGCTTCAACTGCCAGTGATTTTTAAAACCTCATGTCCAATATGAAGATGCCATATACATTTAGACCAAATCACAGCATAAAATTATCACTCATCGCTTCTGACCCCAAACTAGAAAAGCATCAGATATACAGGTGAACTCAATATATTAAATTCAATCCAAACTATGAGATAAGCAGACAAGCAACCTTTCTACTCCAAGAACTTACTTCTCCTCCTGGCTATTTTACAAAAAAAAAACCAAATCAACAGATAACAGAAAGAAAGCAACCAGGCCCATTACATCATTTTAGTTCTTTAGATTTCAGTTTTTCAGTCTGCAAGGAGCTTTTAGGTCTTTTCTCCGAGTTACTCAGTCTAAAGTTGCTCCACTGGTCCACTAATGGCCATCTTCCCAGCAACGACCTGAGCAGAAACACAACAGCCACAAAGACAGATCCTAACAAAACAGATAAATCTGAAGATGTCTAGTCGAAGTCTAAAAGCAACTTCCTCACACACAGATGACTGCATCTGACTTAAACAGGTGCTAAGCATTGCCTATCATTCCTGGGTATTGTCACTGTAAACAAGAGTTCCTCACTGCTCTGCATGAAAGAGAGTTCTAGCCAGGCTTTCCAATTTAAACTAGTATTTATCAATAAATACCTGCACAGTCCAGTGGAGTGCTATGAATAAACAATCAGAAGCACTCAGAAGCTGTAACTTCTCAGTTCTGAGTTCTGTGAAGTCTCAGAAAAATCAATTGCACTTATGAGAAAGATCACAATCCCAGAAGGAGAATATCCCAGCTACCTGGGGTGTGCTTAAAGAGGCAAGAAGAGTTAACACATGGTGTGGGCTCAGGATGGGGTTTGCAAGTAATTACCACTCTGGTGTCTTGGAATTATCTTTTCCAAATGTTCACTGGGGGCTCTGCACATACTGAGCTGAAAGCAAATGTGATGATTCTCAATGCAGTTGGAAATGTTTAACAAATGATGCAGAAGTGACTGGACAGGATTAAAAGCCAACACTTAGCCTCATCTTCCCCAGGAGGTCACCTCAGTAACACAGCAGCACATCAATTAGGGAGGGAGAGACCGGTTTTATCAGTAGCTGCCATCCTTTTATGCTGAAATAATTAACAACTTTGGGAAGGGGGAAAAACAAGTATAAAAATACATATTGTACTGCCTGCTCTGACAGATTTGTTTGTTTTCAGACTGGAAAAGGATTGCTGTTAAACACTGCAAGCCAGTCATGTTTTCTGAAAGCAGGTGGGGGCTTTTTTTCTCCCCCTTTTCTTTTTTTTGTAAATCTTGGGCTGCAACTCCAATCCCAAAGGGAAATCATATTAAACTGGATAAATATTTCCACACTTCTCTGAATCTCAGGACACTTCTCTTCTTGAAGTTTTGCACATATTCCCTGATAAGAAAGGATGCACACAGGAATCAACTACAGGCAATCGTTTGCCCATTCCTCCCACTTATTTTTCTTCTTTTTTTAAGACTAAAGCTCCTACTCCTCCCAAATAAACGAAAGCTGTAACAGAGCTGATATAAATCAGTCATTACCTGGGGGGGGAAAAAAACAAAACCAACCAAAAAAACAGAGAGCACTTTCAAATACAGACAGTCAACCCCAAATAATAAATAATATTGGAATAAACTGCCACAGTTTTGCCCCTGCTTAATGGACTCCTTCTGAATTCTCTCATCCACTTTTCTGACCACATTCTCTCAGAAATTCCCAGGGAGAAAAGGTTAAGTCTTTAAGCAGAACAGTGTCTAGAAATGAAGTGCTATTCACTTTTCTTTTAACTACTGACACTTACATTGCATTTTACTGCACATTACAGAGTGGTTTAAATTGATACTGACATTAACTGAAAACTACTACTTACTCTTTCCTTAAGTTGAACTTCTTAATCTCTAACTGTCAAAGTAGTTAAAGAGTCATAAACACTATGCAGTAATTCATCTGCCCAATGATTTTAATCAGCATCAACCCAAGAGTTTCCTTTTCCTCATCTCCTCTTCTCCCCTTCTTTCCCCACAAGTCAAGCATTCTCCATGTGCAAGTAACCTGCAAGAAAACTGAGAATGAAGGACTAGTCCAGTGATACACTTTACATTCAGAAACCATGAAAAAACCCCAATGGCTGAGAAACACACTTCCTTAAAAAGCTACTGGATTGCTCTATTCCTACAGAAAGGCCACTCTGCACCTTGATGCCCCCTTACCAACAAAGAGCAGGCTGTCATTGTACATAACTGATGGCATATATGGGTTTTTGTCTCCTAACAATCATTTTTAGACAAACCTCTTCACTTAAGTCTCATAATTCCCAGTAATATTCCATTTGAGGAAGCAAACCATTTACCCATAGAAAAATTGCACTTTACCCATGCTATAAAAACTTCCTGCAGTTTTAACACATCAGAATTACACCTCATGTACTATTCACATGGACACATTTCAGTATTCAAGTTTCATTGGGATACCAGAAGACTGATCACAGGGAGGACAAGTCTGAGCAGGATATTTCCCCCTGCACAGCTAGGCATCATGAAGGCTGGTTAGGGTGAGCTGCATTAGCAGTTTACTTTGCAAATTTTCAAGCTAAAAGGTGAAACTAATTGTTCATACTAAGCAACAAACTCTGGAAGCAATCCTCTTAAAAGTGGCAAGATATTGGAAATAACTTTTCAGAATGCAACACAATGCCTGCAAATATAAAAGCAACAGACACTTTCAAAAAGGGAAACAGTAGCGTGCTACATAATGTAGAGCAGGTAAATATGCACTGTTACGCAGGACATAAGCCTGTAATTATTGGAGGTCACTTTCTAAGGCAGCTGTGTTTCAGAAGTCAAAAAACTTTCTGTATAATGCTCTCTTGCAAGTCTAAGCAAACCATTTTAGAAGTTTAGTGTCAAAGTGTGCCCTCCTTGAAGGAAGCACCTAAACAACAACAAAAAACTGAAAAGCCTTGCCTTTCCACTGTCTCCTCTTCTTATCCTGAGGTGCCTAAACTCAGGTACCATTCTGCTGTGCAAGTTTCTGACATAACTGCATTAAGAAAGATAAAAATACTTGCCATGGATTTTCTGAGCTTCTGGGTCATCCGCACCGATGGCAATTATCTTCCAATCTGTCTCTCCTTCATCAACAAGAGCTAAAACACCCAAGACCTTCACCTGAACAATCTCACCAGAAGAACGAATCTGAAACAGAACGCAATGCCACAAAGTTTTGGAAAACAACACATAGGATTTATGTTAAAAAAAAAGTTTTACATTTTTGACCAGTAGGCGGTAACAGAATTGCAAGATAGATCTGCAAACCCAGTACACATCTCTTTAGTATTTCTAGCCCTTCTCCCACCATTACTATTCTCCAATTTTCAATTCTCCGGTCAGCATTTATTTAAGTAGACAAGTAGCTAAAATATTTTCCTTCCCGTTTTACCCTAGTTCCCCCACACTTTCTTGGTATTCCCTCCAAACTGCAAGTCAGAAGTGTCTCTTACTCATTTTTTTAACTTCTTCCTGTCCCTGACTCTCTACTTTTGGAACTCAGGGTCCTAATTGCCGTCTTGCTACTCCTTCCTCTGGACTCCAATATACACCTATAAACACACAGCACTCCCCCAGAAATACCAACACAACAATTTTTGCATTTTCTTTGGAACTTCCATACCAGCTAATATTTCCTATTTAACTCTTTCTGGATCCCTTGGAATTCATCTTTAGGTTTCTTAACCCAAATAAAGCCACTTTCACTGAGGTCACCAATTTAATTCCCCTTTGCCTAAATATCCTAAGAGATCCCTCTTTCAAACTCATCCATTTCATAACCCCATTTTTGATACACAGCATTGCTCCATTCTTTGCCACCTCTAGATATGTAGAATTTTCTTTCAGTGAGCAAAACCTTTCCTTTATACCTACTAATGATGTTTACTGCACCTCTTTTTCATCCATCCACTCCATGACTCATAACTCTGCAACATTGCAGCAGGTTCCTGTCTTCTCTAGAAAAGAGCATCTACTTCTCTTTTGAGTAAACTAAAATGTACCTCCTTTATGGGTCTGGCTTTGTAATTCTAATGTGCATGCTGCTGTCATATTTCCTCATCTTTCAGCAACCTATTTCTAGCTCCAATACTGCTAACAGGGAAAAAAGAAATCTTTTCCTCCCCCAAAAATCTTAACCCTCACCTCCTTCACCCAAAACTTACTATCCAGCTACACAACTTCACCATGTTGTTCTTTTATTTTCTCTTTAACCAGCACAATGATTACCAAATCCTACTTTCTGCCCTCCTTTTTAAAAATCAACTATTTCCCTACCTATTCTCTCCTTAGATCCTCTGCTGATACTTTTGTCAGTCTCTAACATTATTAACACATTTTTTTCTTGTTTACCGTCAGACCTTCTCTTTCAAAAGTTGCTACCAAATTAAGTTAACCTTAATAAATTAAATTAATCCTGATAAATACAAACCTTTGAACCTATTTCACAAACGTCAATAGGATCATTATCCCCGCAACATCCTGTAATGTTATCCGTATGGTTTGGATCTTCCCAAGTCTGCCAGGGGAAAGAGAACTATCAGTTACCAGCTGAACTGCAATTACAACTCATCTTACCACTGAATTACGAAGATTAGCAAAAGCAACAATAAAAAACTCAGCTTTCTGAGAACAGGTTTGCTCAGTGGGAGGAGAAAAAATAAACGGCCAGTGGACTGACCCTGAGTAACTCATACTCAGGACAAGTGAAATGAGGATTACTGAGGATGTATTTTTCATGTGTCAATGACTCAACAGATACACTTTACCCAATTGCAGTGAGTAAGGCATCAGAGCACCTTGAATATGGATTTTTCTAGTTACTAGTAATAGTGTGATCAAGCTAGGACATCGTACAATTACATTTTTGTTATACTTGTTAAATACCACGATATTAACATCAGTTGTTTTCTAAAAAATCTAAGCTTTGAGCTAACTGCACTCATACGCAGAGATTTGTCAGCACCCAATAAGCTTTTTAAAGATTTTAGATTTAGGTAGGAAGTATTTCTGAGTATTTTAAGACATGTACATTGCAAAGGACAGCTAAGAGTTTAAAACCAAAGAGGCAAGTTTAAACCCCTGCTTTGAGCACTGCACAAACAAGGAATACTAGCCAAGTTATACTAACTTAATTACTACACAAGTACTTGTTTTTACTTTCACTGGTGAATAATGAGTAACTCATTCTACAGTTGATTCAATTAAGTATTGTTGAAAAGACTATAAAAAACTTTCTTTTCGAAGGAGCTATACTGCTAGTTCCTACTGTCCATGATCATAACTCCACTTCAAACTTGTTCTTAAGAACTTGACTCATAGTGGAAGGCAAAATGGTGAAACGAATATGCTTAGGTATTTAGATAGGAGAATCATTACCAAAAAACTGCTGAAGTGAAATCAAGAGAGAATTTTTAGTTAGTACTTAATTTTCCAGTACTCATCACAGAATCAACTAGGTTGGATGGAAAAGACCTTTGAGATCATCATGACCTAACACCACCTCATCAACTAAACCACAGCACCAAGTGCCACATCCAGTCTTTTTTTAAACACCTCCAGGGACAGTGACTCCACCACCTCCCTGGGCATCCCATTCCAACACCCAATTAGTCTTCCTGCAAAATTTTTTTCTAATGTCTAGGTCCTGACACATCTTAAAACTGCGTCCTCTTATCCTTCCAAAGTGCTTTTTATTTAGGGCTGCATTATACCAGTACTTCTCTTCTGCCCAGTCACACCTCTTCACCTCTAGGTTAGAAGGTAGAATAGTATTGTTCTCTGAACAGCACAGCAACTTCTGCTATGATAGCAAATAGTCTTATATAGTAAAAATTAAAAATTACTGAACTATGTTCATTCCTCCCCAGCTCACCAGCTAGCAAGGGATGCCAAACATTTCTGCTGAAGAAAGTATTCTAAGTCCAAAATAATGCACTTTTTGCAGGAAAATATTCACATTTTCAAATAATTCTGGCTTTACACTACAGAACACACAAATTTCAAAACTTTAAATGGAATTGATGTTTTCTAACTATATCTACTTGGAAACTTTGTCTACAGACACTGCTGACTGGACAAGAACTTCACTGCTGTATTCGAGCACCTGCCTAGTATCTCCTTTCCAGGGATCAAACACATAAGCAGATTTTTGGGACTCAACTTTCATTACTTATACAGTTAAGTGTAAAGAAAATAAATTATGCTTTTCAAGCTCCATCATGTTCTTCAGTACTAACTGAAGTCTATGTGCTATTCACAGAAATGAAAAAGTTTAAAACTTTTCATTATGCTCAAAATTTCAGCCATTAGTTGGGCTTTTTCAAGGCTCAAAGTTTTGAATGCGTCATGATCAGTAAAGTCTCACAGTTCACAGAAAAGTTAAGGAAGGCAGTTGAGGTTTAATCTAAAAAAGAACAGCCCTTGTGTTCTTCTTTTTAAAAGATATTAAGAAATCGCAATTAAAATTTAAGCTGCAGTATATGAAAATCCTAAATGAGTTTTTAAATAAATGCCTTGCTTAAGCAGAAAAGGTCTACTTGACAAAGTATTCTTGAATGACAGACCATGACAGTTTAATTCACTACAGAGATGCAGACTAAAGATTTGAGATTTCTTGATCATTTAACTCTTTCCTGAACACAGCTCATATTTACTTCCACACCCAAATTCTGATCAAAATTTATGGACACTATAAAGTTCAACATAAAAAAATCCTAATTTACAAATGTATCAAAGAGAATCACCCCTCTTGCAGCTGATTTGCATTCAGACAGTATCCAAGATTTACAAGGCAATTTACACAGAAGACAGAAAACTTTCACCATTATAACAAAAATGTTACCTGTGGGAGAGCACCGTAATTCCATATATAACCCTTGTGAGGGAAGATATTTGCCACATATCGAAGCTTGCCTTTCTTTATATCATGCTTAATGGGATTCAATGGCTCCTCAGTGGCAATCTAAGCAGATCGTGAAAAAGGGCAGGGGGATGGGGAGAGGGAGAGAGAGAATGAGAATGTTAAAATGGAAAGCAATTCATTCCATATCCAACCAGTGAGAAAGACTCATCTGGCAGCACATGCTTGTGGTTTGAGGATTATAAAAACGATAGCCTCGCTCTGAATCTCAAGGGTCATATTCAAAAAGCAGCTTATTAAGGTATTAAATAATGCTGTAAAGTATGCAAGAAAAAAATTAATCTGGAAGAGAAAGTAATACATTTCTAAGGAGACTGATGGTCAAACATAAAAATTGAAAGCAACTTAAGTCGGAAGCTCTTACACTTTATAGTATAAGTTCAACAGACATGCAAATGGTGGCACATCTTCCAAAAACAGGGGCTTTGACAGCCACAGAATAAATGTTTCATGTTCTTGCCGTCTGCTCCTTGCTCTCCAATTGCGAACACCCCTTCTTTCCATCACCTCTCAGCATATAAATGCATTTTCACAAGCACAAGTTCCTCATAGTCACTAAAGGACAACTTAATGCAGATTTGGAACAAGTTAAGCTACCATTTGAAGAGGGCATTCTTATTCTTAAAAAAGCACTGACAGAAGAGCTGCACGACAGCTTAACAAACATCTCCCCCCAAAGCCCATACACAAACCACACAGACATAGCCACTGCCTGAGTTACCCACCACAGCTAGTTCACACTGTAACCACCTTTTGACACTCTACAACAGGGTCCCACCCATGTTGGCTTGGTTCTTGCTTAATCTGAGTGGCAAAACATTTGTTACAGGCTCAAGTGATTACACTCAAGTGGTGCACAGCTTCCCTGGAAAAGCACACAGTGCTCAGTCCATATTCATTTTATATCCCTGTCCTTTACCTGAAGCACCGTCACCAAAGCCATCCCAAAGGAATTACACCTTTTTGAACCACACCAACCTGTCAATAGCATATACTCATTCCAAAAGTAAACCCTCCCCAAGAGCTAAGATGAAGGCTCACACATTTCTGGCCTCATCCTGGATTCTACCTGCTTCTGGTCATAACCTAACAGTGAAGAGCTCAAATATGCCACCTGGGACAAAGAAGTGGAACTCAGCAATGCTTTTTGTTCATGGAAACTGGGACAAAGAGGAGTAACTGAGAGCAGCAAGGGAAGAAGAACAGAAATATGACAAGGTCATGAACAGAAGATCTGTTGGAGGAAATGTAGCAGTCAGTAATATTCATCCTAATACAAGGCTTAATGTCCTGTAGTCTCCATTGCGTGTGAGGAGAGATGAGCAGACAAGATTTGGTAATAGCAGGTATTAGCAGCTTACCATGGTCTGGACGGAAGCACTGCCAGGACACCATGGCAAGGCAAGATGACTGCCTTAATGATTGATGCAGCAAATTTTAAGGATATTAAAAGTTAAATATTAGAGAACTACATCTAGCCTCCTCCATCAAACCCAAGAAGTTTAAAAAAATGATTTCTAAACCAAACAGGACAAACTTTTCTACCTGAAATGTGCTGAAATAAGCAGAGGAAGAACAACCTGAGCTTTAGGCAGAGTTCAAGTAGCACTGTAACACTCTGCAAAAGAGAACTCAGCTGCCACAATAAATCATGAGCTTAAAATAAAGGGTAAATATCTGAGGTAACCCTGCTTGAAGATTAACAGCTGTGATGGCAAAAAATTCTATCATTAGGGAAAGGAGAAAAAATTCTCAAATAACAGACTAAAGAGGTTCTTTGGTATTATTTTCAATAATTAAAAGAGTTAACGGCTCAATCACAAGCTTCCTTAAAAGCATCTCGGAAGCATCCCTAAAATGAATACAAATGTTCAGAAAGACAGGACATATCCTGGTGAGATCTGTTGTTTCACAAACACTACAGATGATTTTACTACTTGTAAAACATCTCCCTGCAGGAGTTCATACTTTCAATCAGTGAAGTCCCCAAATATTTTTTTTGGTTATAAGGAAATGCTCTTTTAGTTGCAACTCCATTTGTGGGCATTTGGCCTAGCACACCATACAGTGGAAATGATGAATTAAATCATCTGAGTGGTATGATCCATAAGCAAGCAAGAGTTAGTCTAAATGCTGGAAAACATCCTAAAAGTCAGTACTCCAGGACTCTGCTGCATTTATGCTACACCCTGAAGTCAGAGGGTTGCCAAGAAATAGTGCCCATCTGCTTTTCCTGTTTGCACCAAGAAAATAATCAGAAGCTCAACACTTTTTATAATTGCAAGGAAAGTGTACGCACCACTTCAAACCAATTTTTAACATTTTAATTAAGAGAACATTTTAATGTGCAAAGAGCAACCCAAACTGTGATTGAACTCTGCCTACTCGAAGCCACTGCATTGTCGTAACTTCCACAAATACCTAAATAATCAAGGTATTTTTCTTAATTACCTCCATTTTTGCATTAGTCCAACGAGGCACTTCTACAATCATATTAAACAGGACCTAAAACAAAAAAAACAGTGACAGAACTGAAAAGAAATTCCACTTGGAAATTAGTATTTTACAGTAACACAAATTCTCTCCTGTGCATTCAGCAACAACATACTTCACATTTCTCTGTTACAGCCACTTTTATTTGTACAGTTCCTTTAGTTCAACCTCCATGGTTCATCCTTCCCTCACCTCACCCCTTTAAGAATATGGACAACAAAAAGCAATAGGAATACACCTGATGATTTTTGGTCCCATGTCAATATTACCCTTCACAAAATGTTCAGAATGTCCGTGGAATGGCTTGCCACGAGGCAGTGGTTCGGTTTACTAGTCAAAAAGGATTCAATGTTTCTGTAAGACAGAGTTAGCTTCCCTTAAGCAGAGGAAAATACAATGTTTTGGGTTTTTTCTCCCAAGGATTTATTCTTTCAAGCCCTCCTCTTTTGCCTTACTATTTTTTAAAAACTCATGCAAATGACACTTCTGATTCTCAATCAAATCTGGTTCAAGTGACCCAATACTAAACCAAAAGCGATGGCAGAGCAAGGACATGGACGCAAGACACCTTACATTTGTGTTAGCCTTCTTCCTAACAGAAAGAAAGTGAAAATTTTTGAAGAAGGCGGTGTGGGAGGAAAAAACCCAACAGACATGTAAACTTTAATGTTTTTAGAAGAAAAATAAGCAGTCTACACCTTCTTACTGAAGAGGTTAAAGCAACATTTTCCGAAGAGAAAAATTCTGTGTAACTGCCATAAGATTTCTTTTTATGAAGTTGAGTTAAGCACTATCAAGGAGTAGAATATCACTGAATTGGGTAACTAGAACAAACCATCAAGCAAGGTCTGTTTTAGACTACTACAATAACTCAAATTATCACATTGCCTGGGACATCTCTTCACAGCCAAGGAAAACTCATATTGGTATTAGCAATTGCAACAGGTCAGGAAAGACCTGTAAGAAAAAATATAAAGATGAACCAAGTGAAGACTTGCACTGACTCTTTAACTACACCACGATTAAGGCTCCAGGGAACCCTTAAATATTTTTATTTCTTCTCCTTGTGCCTTGCAGCTACAACAAACAAATAGCATTACCAGGGTCAATGTCACAGTCTGATTAAAGTGATTTCAATGGCTCTATGACCATCTCCTCCCAAATAAAGCTGAAATGTGGAAAGCAAGAAAGCAAAGGAAAATCCCAACTGTCACTCAGCATTTCTACTATGAGATCACAAGCTGTGCACAATACTGACAGTCACTTCCCAATAAATTTAAACTATACTTGCCACCCATGAGTACTGTGCCCATACTGCATTCAGTGGCATGTCAAACGGAATCACTTCTCTCAATCAAGTCATGACCACATAAAAAAAGATTTAAACAAAAAAAAGAAAATAAAAAGGAGAAAGGTTTCAGATAAGTCTCAGTTTCATAAAATACACCATTTATGTATATAAGAACAGTTGAAACATAAGTGAAGAGAGCTCAAAAATGTCAACACCAAGCAAGCAGATGGAACAAAGCAATACATGCATGAGCAGGTAAGAGAAGGCCTGGAAGAGAGCCAAATAAACTGGGTACATCCATCTGGGAAACTCTTGGAAAAGAGAAATGCACAGTATGAAAGCCAGTGCTGACAAGAAACTCTTAAGGAACTGCCAAGCACGTCAAATAATTGCTCTGACTGGTAGCTACAGGCAGAAAACTTACAAACTACTGGAATTACACAGGATGTCTTCCCCTCCACCACAACCCTGTATTTTTGTTGTTTAGATGCTGCCATATGCTTTCCTGACCATGTAGAATGCCAAGGGTTCAGCAGCCTCTATGTTCGGTTTTGAGCTTGTAATTAGTCAACAGTTAGTCCAGGTCTTCACCAAAACAACTGTTGGGGCTGGTTGGACTACACTGGACTGAAATAAATGCAATGCCACTCTCAAAAAAACATAACAAAACCACTCAGATTCAACTCAGCTTGAAGACCAGGCCCTCATAATTTGTGAAATCAGTCAAATGTGAATTGTCAAGAGTCTTAAATGTGACAGTCTGACAGATTAATTTGTATGCAAAAAAAAAAAAAAAATCCCCAAAAGTACTCTCTCTAATGCTAAGCTGCCACAAGCATTTACAAAAGATTAATGACTTCATTCTTTGTTTACATTTAAAAATAAAAAGTTTCATTTATAGGGCAATCAAATTTTCACAGCGGTAAGACTAGATTCACTCGTGTGGAAAGCAGAGCACATACTAGATATTTTGACAGATTGAAAGAGGACTAGCTAGTTCTTCAGGATTTTTTTCCTCCTCTTTCTTATCTTGTCTTCCCCCTTGACTAAGTATCACACAGGAATGTTTCCATCACTCTTTTTTTCCCCAGACCAAGCATCTATTCTTTATAACTACTTGAAAGTTGTCCCCCATCCCCTGCTCAAAACTGTCCCTGCCTCAGATGAAAACAGAAATTTAATTGTCAGATACCACCTGTCTTCACAGATTACCATCTGCATGTGTCATTCAGTGGTTAGTTTTGGCTGGTGAATGCATCTGGTAATTGATATTTTTATCTTAAATCAGTAAAATAAAAAATTCCACCTCACCAACCCACTAAGTAAGCATTTCTACCCCCTCAAGCAATGGCAAGACTGATTCAACAGCCCATTTGACACACCTTCAAATCACAGAAAAGAATTTCTCATTAAACAAAAACTATTGCTTGCAAAGTTTACCATTTAACTGCCTTAGTACAACAGCAATCAACTGGCCTGCCTGTGAGAACACTGCAGTCCAAATTTAACCCAGCTCTGCAAATGCCTCATGTAGAAGGGACTCCACTTCTTTAGAGTTGACTGTGCAACAGGCCAGAAAGGAGAGCTCCTCCAGGCAGCCTCATGTCAACTCTGCTGCCTGACAGCTTCCTGGACAGTATTCCTGGAGCATGCAAGAAAAGAGGCGGAAATTGTCCTAGATTCAGAAAAAGGGACAGAATCCATCTGCTAGGGAAAGGGAGCTAAAGAGCCCAGAGGAACACTCAACCCAGGGTATTGCATAGCTTGTTTGACTTTAAGTCAATGTGAACACAACACAGATATTTGTATTCAAACTGTATTGTACCTTGAAGAGGTGATGGGGGCAAGAGAGGTGTGGAATCTACTTGCTCAACACAGAGAAGTCAAAAGTAGATTTCCTAATTCCTAAAACTGCATGAGAAAATCAGCAGAAAATTACATCAGTAGGAACAACCAATATGTCTAAATTATACTCTTCATTTCCTAAGAACTACACCTTAAGTAGATTACATGAGAATTCATGTAGGTTGTAACTGTTTGCTTTATTGGGGTGTTGTCTTTAACACTTCTTGGCACCTTACTGCATTCCATTTCAGCTGAATATCATTTTTAATGTACTGTGATATAGTTTTTACTGAGACAAGCAAAAATGTCTTTCACACAGAAAACAGAAACAGTTTTTAGTTTTTGAAATTAAAAAAAGCCACAGAAAGAAAAAAAATATATACAAAAATACTTCAGCACATTTGTACAGCAAGTACTGAAAAAAGCAAGGAAAATACACTGTTATACCCAAGTAAACTGTTAGTCATCATTCTCTCCCCTAAGACTGATGGCTAAAAACAACAATTAGTTCTGGCTGTACAGAGTCTTACAGAAAATAACTCATTTTGTTCTGGGGTTGTTTTTAGAAACCTGAGTATCAGAAGGAAAAAAAAATTCCACGACCTTTCTGATGCCTGCCTTTCTGCACTGCCCTATATCCCTCTCAAAAGCAATTCTTCCTTACCTAACTTTCCCTTTCTTGTTCAACTAGTTTTTTTCCCAGTCATTCCAAAGTTCCTTATTTCATACACTTGAGGGAAGGCGTTTGAATAGATATGATTTTAATAAAGGATTGCAACCCTTAATGCTCAGCTATGAAGGTTCAGATAATTTGGAGCGGAAGTGGAGTAACCGCTATAGATCGCGATTTGCCATCAGCATGCATGACAAGAGATAATGCTAAAGCTTACAGTTACTTTGGTAGTTTTTATAGTAGAATGCTTAAAAAAATCTAAAAGCACTAGAGGCAGCATTTGGGAGCTGCTGACTGTCAAAGAGAAGTTCTGAGTCCAGAGGAAAGAGAGAAGAAAAAGCAGCTACCATTTCCTTTTTTGCCCTGTCTGCTCATTTGCAATCTGGCAGGGATTCTCATCAGCCATCAGCTGAACATGGCAGCATGCACTTGAGGACTAACAAGAATGAAAATCATAAGCTGCAGTCTAGCAGTAGTGTGAACAAAGGGTGACATTTAAAAGGAAGAAAGAAAATAAAAGGAAAAAAGTGGGGAAAAAAGGAGAACCTAAATATGGACTGTCATTAAATATATCCAGAAATAAATGGCGTGGGACTTCCTTATAAAATGAGTAGCCATGTTATAAGCATTCCCAATATAATACTTGCTATAAGGTATTTACCAATTAAAACAACAAACCAGATGCCAGCAACATCTGGACACTAAAAAGAAAGTAGAACTTCTCCAATATAAATTAACATGCCACACAGCAAAAGAGGAATGCAATATCCAGCAAAAGCACCGAGTGCCTGCAGTCTCTTCACAGTGTACTTCCCTTCTGTTAGACTGGAAAGGGAATAATGAACACTGTGTAGGTACAGGTAGGTTTTACACATGGGAATCTCACTGGTGTCAGGTATGTTCTCTGATAAACCAGTTATGGGACACATTCACCTGCAAAACTACCCAGTGTACAACCCTGACATGGATAAATATGAAACGCTGGCTTTCTCAAGTTTAAGGAACCATTTATTTGAAGTTGAATCAAATTATTCATGTAACTTTCTCAGTAAACCAACAATACTCTGGGTAGATTTCAACTGGACTGATGAGTGAAGATTACTCCTAGTCTCAGCATTTGTTCATCTGTAGGAACACAAAGCAAGGCTACATCTGATGGACACATCCAAAGAAAAAGTCTGGGCAAATTGAAGTATCAGGGTGAAAGATTCACTGATAGTCTATAATTTGGAACACAAGTCCCTGACCACATAAAGAACATGGTATAGCCCAGGTTACATATACTGAAAAATTGTCTAACATCACCAAGGACAGTTACAGAGACTGTAGTTAAGGCAGAATACAAAGTCAGCACAAAGTGTGCACCTGTTCTGCATGGAAAATGACAATAGCTTCTCCTTTCTTATGAAGCATACCAACTTTACCAAACGACATCTCTGACACCAATTCTGAACAGTGCTGGAAGCACAAGATCCTCTATCAGATCACATATGCAGACTCCATGACCACTCTGATGACCCCTTAAATCTCACCTGACTAGTTAATTTATCAGAACTTTTTGGCTGACGGAAGCATCTCAGCTGAAGTCCCCAAGGGCATCCCAGAACTGTGCAATCCACAGGATGCAACAAAACAAAAGCTATCCTGTTTTTCTTCCTATTTTTATTTTCAAATGCTTTTGTGAATGTCTGCAAGTTAGAGGACTATAACCTCTACGTGCTTGGACAGACTCCTTACCAGGGCCAATATATGAAATGTATTTCAAGAACACCTGGGTCCTCTGAATGACACCACATGTGAATACTTCTCCGAAGATATACAATAACAAGTAGATTAGAAACCCTTTCACTTCAGCAGGGAACAACATGTCACATTTGCCTTGAAAAGAAAATGATGACCTCTTCAAACCTTCTTCCTGCCAGACAAGGAAGACGACAATCAGGCTCTGTCAGTTCTGACTGTAACCCTAGTGGAAACATCCACTTTTCCAGAGATGTGAAACTTCTGAAACCTGTCACAGAGATTTACTTGGGCAGAAGTAGATTCCAAGTGCTTGCAATGCTTAAGGCAATGCAGGGGTTCGGACTGCAAGCTGCTAATAATTTTAAGATCGGAGCTGAATATTACTTCTTTTGGCACAGTTTCTACCTCGAAGTAACTTCTTTCTTGTCCTCAAAAAGCAAAAACCATCTGCAAGAGCAAAAAGGTCAGTTGTCAGCAGTGTCTGCAAAGTTAAATTTAACTGAGATTTGGGAAGGTCTAAAACGTTACAAGAAATTGTTGAACTAGTGAAAACAGTTAATATAGAAACACGACAGTGTTTCCCTTAGAAACGACAAACTGAGACTGCAAAACAGCTGACACAGACTTGTAGGATGTGCGTTCTCTACAAATACTGAAAGCTGAAACTCCTCTACTTTGAAACCTTCTTTTCTGACATCAGGAACACCAAGGAAAATTTAAAATAGATTAGACTGACTAAAGAGACTCTTGCAAAATTATCTTCATTTTCCATAGCTAGACTGCCATCTGAGAAACACCACCTTAGTATATTTTAACAAACTGAAATTAATTTAACTCTTAAGAGGGCTTGCTCTTGTCCAGAGTAACAAATAACTACCACCCTAAAAGCATAAGTTTCAAAGATGCATTTCCAGGGCAAGAAGAACTATCACTTTAAGATTCCAGTCAAATTCAGTGCAAGGATCAACTGAGTAACAGGTATCAATAGCAACCTTTGCATTCCTAGACAAGAATAAGGAGTCCAAGGCTTCAAAGCTCTTCTGAAATCAGTATATGACATTAAATTCCTCATTTTCCCTTTATTCCCTGATTAAGCTATGCTTTCCCTGCATACAAGCACACAAGGATGCATCTCTCATCAGGCAAGGTGAGGAGAGCTGCTGAAGAGCTCAGTGTAAGAAGAAACTGCTTTCCTGAACACAAAGATCCCCGTTTTCTCTCTCTCCCCAAATCCCAAAGATCATGATGAAAAAGGTGTTCTCACAGTTCACCACCTAAGTAAAGACCAAGGATGTTCAGAAAGCTTACAGCCTGCACATCTCTTTGCCTAATTGTATGCTAAGATTGAAATGCACATTTGCCTTTGCTCATTTTCCATAGTTCTATTAAACCACAGTCCAGAGCTGGCTCACAGCAGAAATTACATGAAGCAGGTCTGGAGGCTACATTGGCCCAGAAAGCAAGAGCTGCTCAGCTTCATTGGCATTTTGCCTCCCTTTCCATAGGCTACTAGAAACATGGTTTTCGACAAATTACCCTTCTTTTCACAGCACAGACAAATGCAGTTTTTAACAGTTTCAGATGCTGCATGAAATGTCTTTGCACCAGTCAGTATTTTTAAGCAGCTAAGACACAGAATACTTGACTTGCCAGCAGGAGCTGTAAATAAGAATTGATGTTGCAAGACTACGATGTTTTATAAAAGTCTATTGGCACATACTCTTTCTCCTGAATAATTCCTCTTTCAGGCATGATTCTACATCTACTAAACAGTTCCTAAATGGGCTACAGGAAAGCTACAGGAAATTTAAAAAGCACTACTTAGGCATTGTAGCTTGAATCAATCACAGAGCAAAGGGAGAGGAAACACAGTGCAGGATTTTGTGGGAACTGCTGTACAGCACAAGAACGAGTGCACCACACACTGGCTGCAAAACTATGAGAACCCAGACAGTTAGGACAGTTCTTTCACATTGGACGGGTAGCTACAGTTTTGCAGTAAAACTGGCCAAACAGACAGGAGAAGATAAGGCTTGGGACACACATCCATCCACCCACATATCATGGCCTTAAAGCATAGTTTGGCTCTTTTTTTATCACATTCTTTTACTAAGTCTTAGATGAGCCTATGCCAGGCAAAGCACAGCAAAAAATGTTTTATTTCGGAAAAGACACTTGCATAAACAAATCTTGTTTCACAGAAAAAGCCTGAGCAGATCTTCCATGTTTTCTAGGCTTCTATTAGCCTTAATTCCAGTGCTGGATAATGTTGAACCATTAGCAGATATGGTTATTCTCCCTTTGGACTTCCTAGCTAAGCATAGAAAACAATATAACCTCAGTTCTAAAAAGCAGATACTCAGTATAATTTCTGCCCTAAAATACTTAGATTTTTGACGTTCTGTATATAAGCCAAAGATTATCCACAGTCAGAGAATAATGAATATTTCATTAAAGGAAGTTTAATTGCAAATATTTCTGAATGCAATAGCAAAAAAGGTAACATATCTACACTGCAAAAGTTGTAACAAACCTTTGAAAGACTGGCATAAGTGTTTGCCTTTGAGAACATCTTGATGAATAAATGAATTCTGACATTTCTGGCCCATTCAAAGATGAGAATATTAAATCCCTTTAAGTCTTCTCCTAAAAGACTTGCATTTGAAGATATGTCAACTATATTCAGTGACAGCAAGTTCACTCTGCAGAAAAGTGATGTTGGGAAGGAAATAGAAGAAATAGTTGAAAAACAAAACAAAACAAAACAAACTTAGCAGTACCTCAGATCCAGTAGTCTTTAACCTTTTTGCAGGAATTTCTTTATCCTAGAGGGAAAGAGTGAAAAAGTATATAAAGAACACTAGGGAGCAACACTGTTGTCTTGGTTTGAAAGACAGGTATGGTCTAAGGAAAGGCAAGAGCCCCTTTCCTGAGATGCAGAATGCAACCCCCTCCCTTTTAATTATTTTAGGTCCAAATCAGAAGCCTTCAGGCAGGAGGTTTGGGGATAAGGGTAACAGTTCTTTACTGATATCCAACAATGCAGAAAAAAAACAACAACAGCTATAAAAATTGGCAACAGAACAGTCTAGCTCCGCTCCAGTCCCTTTTGGCCGCAGGCCGTCTCCCTGCGCTCAGTTACCGGTGCTGTGGGGCAGGGCAGGTCCCGTGCAGTTGAAGAGGGCTGGGTGATGGCGGCGGCCCAGGGGTGAGAGGGGATGGGAAAGTGACTCCCCCCCTCACGGCGTCGGTCGTGGTGCTCAGCAGGGTGTCCGGAGATAGTAGGGTGAGATGGGAGAGCAGCAGAGCGATGTCCAACAGCAGGGAGCGTGGATCTCAGTGCTGGGATGGCAGGGGAGATGCCAGACCGAAGCCCCGGGCTGTCCTCCCACTCCACGAGCCAAGCGAGACAGAGTCCCCCGCTCCAGACCCCCCTATCCCACCTTTCCTTTTCCGGTTCCCCCCCCCTCCCCCTCCACCCACCCCCCTAAGAGAGAACATTATCTGTCCTTTTAAGGTGTAGCCACAATTACTTAGCATAACAATGGGAGAAAATTCCACAGAAAGAAAAGAGAACAATTCAACCCCCAACAACTGTATTCACAAATACAGGCAACAGTACTTCAAAATGCAATTGAAACATCCCTTTGTGAGCACAAAGGCCTAAATTTTAAGTTTTAAAAGTAAGTACTCAGTTCTGTTTCATTGTGAAATTCTAACCTTGGAGACATTAAAAAAGGAAAATAAAAAAATGTACAAGGACACATTTACTTTCTCCCAGCTACCAAGAAATTTAAGCAGCAATTTAGGTCTGTACTCAACTGGTTAAAAACAGTCATCCTTCTGTACAGTTGATGACGACAAAAACCAATCCAAAATAAACAAAACCAGTACGAAAAACAAGGCCGGATTTACACATCATAAAGTCCATAAATCTTAGGCGAGGGGATAGAAAGACTCTAACATACAACTCCTTAAGTCATCCTTTTGCAAACAAGGCAAAATTAACAGAGACCTTAACCATGACTCCCCTTCTTGCTCACTCTTCAGGCCCTATATTGGATGGAATGCTATTTCACACCAAAATGAAAGTCCTTCCACACTGATTAGTCAGGTGCTGTACTCTAATTTAACCTACTGACAAAATCACAGGCTATAAGCTACTCACACAAACTTTTAACTCAAGATGCTGGGACAGCAAGGCCTCCAGGGAACATGTGATGAACATTGCTTTTCCAGCAATAGCATAGATTGAACATGGCATCTTAGTAATGACACTCTGAACGACCTGCCTCTTTCACTGACAAGCACTTGGGTCTGCTGATCAAAAAGGTTTAATTCACATTTTTAATCTCTCGGATTTAATAATTGAAGAGATTGGTTCATCAGTTCAGGAGTCACCATCTGAACACGTTCAAACTACTGACCTTTCGTCCGTATCACCAATAGAGACTTAGCAACAAAACAAGTAAACGACTAAAACTCCCCCAGCCTGTTTGTGTCACAAGCACCCTGTGATAAGCAAACCTCAGCCTAAACCAAAGACTGGCAGCTCTCCCATCAGTGACAGACTAAACAGCCGTTTCATTATTGCTGTAATGAAACCCCAGGGAGGGTGGCTAACAAGACGTGACAGTGCTCAGCTGCACCTCTCGCACTTCGAATCTCCAAAGGTGTGATTACCACTTCTCTCCTGGGCATTGCTGTTGGCTTCCAATTCTAACACTCCTTTTGGGCATTAAAGACATACACCATAAGTTATGCAAGTGTGTGCTGTACATCCACGACAAAGAAATGCACAGTTTTAATGGCAGGTGTAGAAAACTGCTAATTCAAAAACAATAACAGTAGAAAATTAATTCAAACACACATAAGCACAAACGTAAACACAGAGAATTATCACAACATACACACAGTAAGGGCTCTCCTGCCCTCAATCACTTAGAGACTTAAAGAGACACCTAGGCTTATATAAACAGCAATCATTATGTTTCACTGCAAGTTACTAAACTCAGCAGAGAAAATCTGGTGTAGTCATTGTGCCTGTATAACATAAGGCATCAGTCTGGGTTAGAGTGGTCTTTTCTGGCACTACACATTTCTCTGTTGGTTACCAAAAAAAACCTTTTTAAAACCCCAACTTTTATTTAAAGAATGCCAACTATTAGCATTTTGAAATTAATCATGTTTCAAGGCATAAAAACATACCTCCTTAGGTCCAGCAAACAGGGGAATATCATGGAATGGGGAAATATATTTACCGTCTGCATTCTCTGAAAGACAAAACAAAGCAGCATGGCAAACCTAAAGAAATGGCATAAGATGTTGGTGTTGCTAAACATCACACAGAAATGTATATATGCTATGATTGTGCATCAGTTGAACTTTTTCTGAAGTTTAATTTCAAGTACATTCCCTACATGAGGGACAAGGAATTTGACTGTTTTGACAAGGATTCATTAGAATCAAAGTTATTCCTTTAGCATTCAACACTATGCTTCTCTTCTACCTGGCAATACAAGCTATACAAGGATGAGAAAATTCTTTCATTCTTTTATACTCCCTGGCCATAAACAACCATTAACAAATTTTTAAAAAAAACAAACTCAAAGGAAGCTCATTTCCATCCGTGGAAAGTGAATTCACCTGGGTTTCTAGCAATGCTGCCCCCGTGATTGCACTGTATTTCTAATAAACTGAATTTCATGACCCCCACAATGTAATAGGCCAAAGTCTGATGAAGAGTAAGTGAGGGATGGGATAATTGCTCTACGCCCTCAATATGAAACACCAGACTTTGAAACAAGCAGAAATTGATGTTAAGTTAATGGGGGCCCAATCTGCACCTCAGCCTTGCTCCTACTCTAGAAAGAAACTAATTTCACTGGAGTGAATGCTTAAGTTTTCCAAGTTCAAGTATCACATCACGTTAGTGAAAACACTAATTCAAATCCCAAGGAATTTCTCCTCTGCTAGCACCTCATTCATAGAAAAGGAAAAAGCAGACAAAGCACCTCACTTAGCTTTGAACTTTTGACCACCTCAGCAAAGAAGAGTCAATGGAGTTGATTTGCAATTCCTAGAAACCTCCCAGACGCTCCTCTCAAATAAAACGAAGTTTAGAGGTAGGCTATTTATTCCCACTAAATAAAGTGACTTTCTCTAGACGATCTCCTGCCCTGGCAGCGCCATGAATGAGCACAAGGGAGCTCTGGCAGTGCTGCCAAGCGGGCACACGCCGCCTCCGCTTCTCCCACACCAGCAGACGTCAGAGTCGACTCTAAGTCAATGGACCAGAAACGTACAAACCCACTGCGATAGGACAGGCACACAAACAAGACAACACTGTTACGAAAATGCGTTAACACTGAAGACGGCACACCCTCAGCTGTCGCTGGGTCTTGAGACACCTCCTGGAGCACTGCCCGTGCCCTCGCACTGCCACTTGCTGGCCCCCGATCGGGGCTGGAGCCCCACGTTTTGGCTGTCAGCCTCCCGCCTCGGTGACGCGTCTGGTGGGAAGGAGGGTTGCCCCGGTCACAAGGGACAGGCTGGGCTGTCACACCACAGAGCCTCTCACGGCTGTCCCCAGGGTGCCACAGGTCCTCCGGCCCGGCTGCCGCTACACGGCACCGCTTCACCCCCGGCCTCCTCCGAGGCTGAGCAAGGGCACGGCTGGGCCGAGGCTATGCAGGCCCAGCATCCTCTCGAAAAGCCGGGATGTCCATAGGATCCACCCTCACTCTCTACAAAAACACTGCTCCCCCCCTGCAGCGGTGGGAAGGCTCGGGAGCGACACCTCAGCCAGGCCGAAGAGCCTCCGCGAGAGCGAGGACCCGCCGCCGCTCCCCCTTCGTGCGCCTCGCGGGACGTGGCAGGAAGGGGTTTATGGAACCCGGGGACTGCTACTTACTAAAGTAGAGGCGGTAATCGGGCGAGTTGGGCCGGCCCCGCTGTTCCGTGCTGTAGCGGGACATAGCGCCCAGGCGCCCCCACCCCCGCGCCGCCAGCAGCAGCCGCCACAGCCCCGGCGGCGCCCGCATGATGGCGGCGGCCGCGCGCCGCCCTCCGTCCCCTTCCTGTGGCCGCCGCGCCGCGCCGGCCCTGCCCCGCCTGCTGCGGCCCGGCCGGGCCCAGCGCAGCGCCGCGGGGGAGAGAGGCCTCCACCGGGCGGAAAGTAATAGTAAGGAAAGCCAGCCCCTCCTCCAGGTGGCCGCTGACCCTAGCGGCAGCCATGCAAGCTTGGTAGCCCAGGTGTAGCCAGGCTGAGGTGCTCGCAGCCACCAGCACTGCCAGAAAGGGGGACGCCAAGAGGATGGAGCCAGGCTCTTGTCGGTGTTGCCAAGCACTAGGACTGGAGGGAGTGGGCAGAAACTGACACACAGGAACTTCCACCTGAACAGGAGGAAAAACTCCTTTATTGTGCAGATGGCCAAGCACTAGAACATATTGCCCAGAGAGGGTGTGGAGTCTCTGTAAAAGGAGATACTCAGAAGCCATCTGGACACATCCTCTGCCTTGTGCTCTAGGCTGACCCTGCTTGAGCAGGGGGGTTGGACCAGATGAGCTGCTGCACACCCTTCCAATCTGACCAATTCTGTGATTCTGTGAAAAGTGTGGATGCAAAATTAGGGGTGGTGGTACCAAGGGTTGCTATCCTTACCTGAGGCCCACGGCAGAATGAAGATCCTAACCTCCTGCTCCCTAGGTAGGGAAATGTTAGTTTCTTGGCACACATGTGATAAATGTGATTCGTGCTAATTAAATTGTAACTATATTAGCAAAATTGTATTTAGATCAATAGAAGACTATTGTTACCGAGTGAAAGGGGGGGAGATGGGTGAGACAGGATAAAAGACATCTTCCAGATGTTGGGAGTCGAAGAAGGAGGTTAGAAGAAAGTCAGATAAGAATAGTAGAAGGACGGAGGTCTGATAAGCAGCATCTAGAAATACAGCTTCAACCTTGAAGCTGTCAAAAATGGAATAATTCCAAGCATGGGACTTAATTAGAGTCATGTTATGGAAAACATCTACTCAGTCACACAGGGCGCCTGCGCTACCTGCAGGTCACACCTCAGTCACTGATGAAGATGATGAGCCTTCACCGGAAATAAGACCCTCAAAAGGATGAGAGACCCCTAACCCCATTAGTAGAGCATGCACCGTGCAGTATAGTTAGGTAGATTTTAGGAATAGAAACTAGGAGGAGCTTTCTAGAAACTTCTGTAGCCTACAGTATATAAGTGGGATTGTTAGCCTGGATGCTTTGATACGTGAGGAATGGCAAACCACTCCCCATATCCCCGGTCGGAGGGGGGCCCCTCCCCGGTCGGTTTTGCTTATGCTTTATACGAACCTCAATTATACTGAATTACTTACTGCCAAATTTTGTATATTCTTAAATATATGCACTTTGATTGTTTCATCTCCAATACTTTAATTGTCATCTCCAATACTTTGATTGTATTCATTTTGTTACTATTAAAAACTTACTATTAAATTTAATCTTGTTGCTTGATAAATTGGAAAAAATAGAACATCATTCATAACACATTTTTATGTGACCCAAGCCACCCTGTGTCTGCTCTGCTTATAGCTGAGCTATTTGCATTGGTTCCAAATCAGAGATAAATTTTCATATTGAACCCTGCTGATACCTCAGTTAGATTCTGTATTCATCTTGTTTTGGTTTTAAAGCTTAATAGCTCTCCATATGATCTGGTTCCTTTGCATTCCCTTTTCATTGATCCTTGAGAATGATTTGAGATTAATTTCCTCTGTCAGTAAGGATGGTAGTTCTTGAAGTAGTGCTTCTTATTTGTGGGTCTTTCAAAAATTCCTGAAAAGGGTAAATACCACTGTTTGCATTTCATTGATGGAGAAACTGATGCAGAATAACTTTTGTTGCATCATCAGTCTTAAACCCCAAGCCAATGATCTTATGTATTCATCTTGAAAGGTAGTCAATATTAGCTTTGAATGTTAACTCTAATTTGAATTACCCTGAAAGATTTGTGCAGGATAACTCCTTGTTACCCTCATTATTTTATACATTGTTTTGAATGTTATTGGGAATTATTTATTAGCAGCAGAAAAGCTAAGTCAGTATCTTCCTTCAGATTTAAACAGCATATAACTACTTCTCATTATTTGTTCCCTCTACTACTTTGTAGATCAAGCTTCAAAGGAGCCAAGATTGTCTGTTCAGTGCGTGCAGCAAGGGCACAGACTTATTTTACACTAGACCACGAGATTGTCGTGATGGCCTCACTACTCTTCCCCCATGATCTCCTCTGCAATTTGTCAGTTGGCGGTCTGATTCTTTGATGGAACTAGTATTCTAGTGTGTGGATTTCCCATTACAGGAAGGCTCTGGGGAAAAAAAAACAACTATGGTCTCCTCTGATTTGTGCCACTGATTGATGTATTTGTGACAATAGATATCTCCAGGAGAACAGAGAGGCAATTTTGCAGGGCCATTGCCCACTTCTGCAGAAGCTACAAAACAGTACTTCATATTTCACCAGAAGAGCTGGCATCTGAGTTCAACAAATGCAAGGTTTTCAGGGGTAATCTCCTGAATTGAAGATGTAGGGTTGAAATTCTTCATAGAATCATAGACCTGGGAGGAAGGGTTCTTAAAGATCATGTAGTTCCCCCCTGCTGTGGACAGGGACAGCTTTTACCATACCAGGTTGCTCAGAGCTCCATCCAACCTGGAAATGAACAATTCCAGGGATGGAGCATCCACAGTCTCTAGGCCACCTGTTCCAGTGTCTCACCACCCTCACAGTAAATAATTTCTTTGTTCTATCTAATCCTAAGCATACTCTCTTTCAGTCTGAAGCCCTTGCCCCATCACTACATACTCTTGTAAGAAGTCCATCTCCATCTTTCTTCTTGGCTCCCCTCAGATACCAGCAGGTCTCTGTAGTTCTAAATTTTAAAGTTTGTCTAGAGGGCAAACAATCTATTTTTCATGTGGAGTAATTAAAAAAAAAGAAAAACCTATATAACTTTTTTTCTATTATAATAAAATCTTTTATGTGATTTCTTTGAGTTGGCCTGCTGCTGAAATGGGCAAGATTAAAAAGAAACACGTGCCATAGGCCTAGCATTCCACCTCTGCTTAGTTCTGAGGAATCTGGATTTCATTTATGGAAGGTCAGAACCTTTGAAAATCACTTACTGAGAATACACACGGGATTTTTACACTTGCAAAGCTGGCAGATGAGTATAAAGTTATTCTGGTAGGAGTCCAATTCATATTTATTTAGCTCTACAAGCTGGAAAGTGAAATACACTGCAGTGGCCAGGAGTTCCGGTAAGATGCACAAAGTCTGAGCACAGAGTTCCCCATTGCCTTGTGTGTTAACGTGGTCTTACCTAAAACTCTCTCATCTGTGAAAATCAGCTGTGAAGCACTTAGAATTTATGACATTTAAACGAGTTTCTGTGCAGGCACTGTTTAGATGCATAAATAAATGCCATCATGTTACATAGCACGGATAGATGATACAGCAGAAAACCACACTGAAACCCTGCTAATGCTACCAAAGCAGAGAACATGATGTTTTAGCATGCTAAGGGATCCAAAATTATCTTAGTACTGCAGAAATATTAATGCTTTAAATATGTTTAATTGTATTTTTCAGTATTGTGCATTATATTACACAAAATACCGCTGAAGTACACCCAGTACTCCTCAAGTCATGTTTGGTTAGAATAAATTCACCTACCATCCTTGAATCTTTGAGACAAATGAATGTTTTGGTTCCAGTATTTACCTTCAGCAAATTCTCCAGAACTACTAAGTCTTTTACTGCCAAGGGATTTTTTCACATTCATTCCCAAGCATTTTGCATCTAGCTCCTTGCATATCATTCCATTTGGGCTAGCAAAAGGCATTTACAGGACTGATCTCATTCATTGACCTTGTAACAGCTCCCACTGAAAAACAGTGAGAATATTGCTGTTTATTTCAATGGAATTAGAGCCAGGTCCTTAAGACTTAAGTAGGACTTACATGGTGCTTAGGTTTTATGCTTGCCCTCTGCACAGGGGTGAATCTCATTCCAACAAAATGCCACTGGAGTATAGCAAAAACTCAGCAGCAATATAACCATCTAAGCCTGAAGGACATCCTTATTTTAAAAGTTTGTACTCTGCAGTGTACATTTACATTGATTTTGGATAAGTTTTTATATACACACATAAATATTTAATAATTAATGTTTTGCCCATTAAAATGCTGTGCAAATTAAATGCAGAAAATATTATCTATATTATAATTTAAGGAAACCCATCCTCCTGGATGAAAATAATTTTAATCTTCTCACCTAATAAAGCTTTGAAGAATTTCATTAGTACCACTATGTGCTATTCAGTGCTTTTGCTCTTGACTGGTGATCACACCATTATCATTAAATTTTGCTGTAATAGAAGTTCTATCTCCATGGCTTACAAAACCGTTAATCTGAAGGAATCAATTCCTGCCAGCCTTCTGTTTTGCAGCCAGCTGTGTGCAAAAATCACAGCCAGGCTTCCTCCCTGTCCAGCCACCTCTGTGGAACAGGTCACTCCCTGGGGCTGCTGGCCAGTGCTCACTCATTCAGCCAACACCATCTCCCCAATCTGCCAATGGATCAGCTGGAACCAGTGCTCCCTAGGGCAGATCAAGCCAGGCAAGGCGAGCTGAGGCACTTTAGGGACTTTGGGCTAAGTCATCAGGCTGATTTTCAGCCAAAGCAAGTTAAGGGCCATGAACAACTTCTGCAGGTCTTTGCACTGGCAGTCCTCAGCAGGAGAAGGATGATGAATCATTGGAGTCAGTGACCTCTTTCTTTGGCACAGCTGGATTTGACAGAGGATGCCTAGAAGGGATGTCTACAAGCAGCCAACTTACATATGGATTTGTATATTGCTCGCTGATGGATGCCTGATGGCAACGAAAGACTACATCATCTAACTGAAAGGAA